TTGTAATATAGTGACCTTATTTACTAGGCTTGTTGACAAAATTGCATTGATTATTACTTGGGATGTGATTGCAACAATGATGTCAATAATAAGGACATTTTAATAGTAGTACTCTACAATTTATATGTACTATGGATGCCGCTATTGTGCATTTCTATTTGGTGGCATAAGCTATAGTTAGAATTGGTTGGATGGAACTATCAATCCATCAAGGTTATTGAGAATGACTACCAAGCCATGGTGCATGCCTACTGCAAGGAGATGACTTTCAAAGATTCCATTGATAAGAGCTCTAATTTGCAATCAAAATTTTACATTGGATAGTTTCATTGCAATGACAAATTTCCACAACTTCAAAAAATTTGTGGCAGACTAGCCTCTATTTTTTCTAACAAAAGTCAAAATCCAACTTCTCTTTGATCTAAAAATTAGATTCAAAGCTTGACAATGCAAAGCTTGACAAAAGGGCATTAAATCTTGGTATTAACTCATTGCAATAATACACATCTGGTTATAACATCAACCACCTGCCATTGGTTATACTAGTTGGCCCAATATGAAGAAGTATATGGTATGTCCAAAATGGAAAAAAAGAAAAAGGAAAAAAGAAAATAGATACTTCTATAAAAGCAACAAAATTCTAGGTGTGTATGATCTTGTAGATTAACTGTGATTACTTTACATTTTTTTATGGTTACAATTCCTAATTCTATCATAATTGTTATAAGCCTTCAGTTCATCCAATTACATCTAGATTAGAAAAATAGTAGTTAAATTTTGGAGAGTGGTTCTTGATTTAATCCACAAAAATGCTTTCAATTGTGATTTTTTTATTTTATTTTATTTTATTTATTTTGTTGTTGTTGTTGTAGTAGTAGTAAAGGAGAGTTTTATGTAATAAAGTAAGATACAATGTTGCTAAGGATGTGGTTTCTATTTGCCATTTTGGCAAAGATTATCTCTCTTCAAGCTACATAGCAAATACTGTGTGTATTGATGAGTTCTTGTGAGAAAACTAAACGGCATTTTATGGCGCACCAAAGGTGCCATAAAGTTGCTACTCCAAATATGCCTAAGATAGGTGAAAAGGGATTGATATTGGGGTGATAAATTCTATCTTTGTCACATGTACCCGGGGATATACTTGTGAGCAATTCCCTCCATGCACAAATTGGGAGGCAGTTCAGCGCCCTCCACACTAGATCATATACCTTCCAAATGGAGAGAGCTAACTTACATCCTCTGATGCAATGTTCTAGGGTCTCTTTGACCTCGCAGTTGCAATAAAGTTAAGTGGCGGAGAAGTGCATGCTACCCTTTCTTATTAATAAATGTCTGATTTGTTTAATTTAAATCTAGCACTTGACCTACTTTAGCAATAATTACAATAAAAGATCCTACTATACTTAACCAAATTTCATTTCGGAACCCAATATTGACTTAATTCTAAAGTTTGGTTAAATCAACCTCATATCAATATCAACTCTAATCTATAATCTAAAATTAATGTGTTATTATCATCTCAATATAATATATGGTATAAGTCTAATTATACATAGATACATAAAATTATGTATTTGATATCAATTCTTATTTTTATTTTAATCAAACAGTATTTTTAATTTTATTTTTTTAGTTTTTTTTAAAAAAATTAATTGATATTAAAAATTAGATAATCTTGTATTTATATTTGAGCAACTAAAATAGATTTTTTAAATTAAAATACATAGTTTCTTTATTTTTAAAAATTAATATTATATAAACTAAGAATTAATCAATTACATTCTATTATGTTAAAATAAATCTATAAATAAATAAAAATAAAGATATAGAATATAGATATATATATATATATATATATATATATATATATATATATATATATATATATATATATCATAATTATTATATGTTAAATTAAAAAAAAATCTTTAAATTATTACGCATCTTTATCATGTGAAAAAGTTATAGCTTAGCTTAAATTTTGAACCAAAATTGTGATAAAATGCTTGTTAAATATTATCTATAAATATTATATTTGATCATCTTGTTTTAATATATAATTTGAAGGTTTTTATATTTAAAGAAAAATATGAAGAGTCACAATTTTAAAATATTTTTTTTGGGTGGAATTGAGAAGCCTCATTTAGTTCATTTTTACTTTAAAAAATAAATTTAAAGGTCCTATAAAAAAAATATGATAAAATATATTTTTTTTACATTTTTACATAGTATAAATGGTGTTGTCTACCAAAACTTAAAATTGGCCTACCTTAAGAGATTATTTTATAACAATTTAAGAAGATTTTTTAAAATTATCTCAATATAACTACAAAAAGATTAAAAAAAAAAAAAATCTTTTTATTTATTGTGATTTTTAGAATTAAGGTATGAATTGGCATATATAAACTTATTATACAAAAAAAAAAGTTGGTCTATTTTATGGCCTCTTCATACTTTAAACTATCTAAAAAAGCCAACATTTCTTTGTTAAATTTTTTTGTTTATTCAGTGAAAGTATATTGAAAGACTTTATACCATAGTCTTTCAAAATGGGTTTTAAGATATAAAAGCCCCTTTAAACACTAGAGCAAAGTCACTACCATTGTTTCCAATGTATAAGGCCATCTTCCAAAAATAATCTCCAACCTCTAATTCAACCACTCCTAATCCCTTAATTTAATCATATGCAAAGTCATTTCTACAAATAAAACTACTAGAGATTGGTCATCCCCAATTAGTCCATAGTTCACAATTTAACAAGGAGATATTCACTAACTTCTTGTGGTCATTGTCCATTTTTCTATCATAGAAAGTACAACTAGATCTATATAACAAGAAAGTTTAGGTATGTAACAAAGAGACAAAGAAACTTTCTCAATTGCTAAAATCAAAAAAATTGTTAACCAACCAAAAAAAACCTTGAATAACTTTGCAAAAAGAACTCCAATTTACTATCTGTAAACAGCTTCACCGTGCACAACCGCATGGGTTCCAGCTAATAACATAGAAAATGAAGAAAGAATGTTGACAAATGTGACTTGCCTGGGTGGGTGTGTGTTTTTCATTGTCTTTCTTCACAGTGGTTGGAATTTACACAAGTTTCTAGCCGCTAGAAGCCGATGACGCACATATTGAATGCTATCCATAGCTGGTGTGCTGCGGAGAAAGGAGACACCCACTGCAGTGTAGTGCAGCGTTGCTGTAGTCGAGAATGGAAAGGAGTGCTGGAAGGGAGTGAGGAGCAGCAGCAGCACAAATGGCGACGTTCAGGACTTTTCTACTGGTTCGCATTTTCTTGCCGCTGTTTGTTGCAATCAGTGTCGGAGGGATTACCTAAGGTGCACTGAGTGCAGATGAAGTTGCTTGCAAGAAAAAGGGTCAACCTTATAGCTACTGCTCTTGGTCCACGATCTCATGGTCCCCAGGTTGCTACGTTATCTGTGCAAAATTACTAGGAGAATGAAGAGAATGGCGCTTTCAACATGGATGAAAGTGGCGTGAGAGTGTTGGTGTGTAGAGATGCAGGAATGCAATTTACTAGACCCAAGAGAGATACTTTATACGTGATTGTTCTCTTAGTTGGTTTTGTAAGCACATGGTTCTCGTCACCTGAGGGTGCTGTTATCGAAGTCCTTGGGCTACAGGCGATTGTGGCGAAGGTGTGAGCTCCTCTGGAGTTCCTTAAAGAAATGGAAGTTTGCAAGTAGAGGATTTTTGTAGTTGGGAAGTGTGCTGAGGTATAAAAAATCTTCAATTTGATTTGTAGTGCCCTTTAATGATTCTTGTTTCGTTATAATTCAAATATGTTTCTTATTTTCAAAACAAAGTATTATGTTTTTGATTTGTCATCTATAGGCTTTGTGAGTTGCAAAAGTGAAAAAGATAGTCCAAATAGATTTGCAATTCTCTAAGTCTTTGAGTTGAATAAACATCATTTAAGTGCATTCATGCGTAATACAATCTCTTTAGAATTATGATAAAAATCTACTTTGTATTAACTATTTCATGCTTTGTAAAAGCACAAGGTAATGAATAATGTAGGTTAATTTTTTATTATAATTATAATTATTATTATTTTATATATAGAATAAATTATAACAATTTGTTCTATTGTTTAAATGAATAGTAATATTTTTATATAATTTAAGATCCTAATGTTTGGATTTGCTACGATACTTGATAAATTAGAGTTGAGATGTGTTATCTTTAAAAATTATCCTAAAAATGATTTTGAAAAGAAATATTAGAAGGCCTATATTTTATATCATTTTTTAGATAATTTTTGATTGATATAGAGATATTGATTAATATCTACTCAAAAAATATGTTCCATCCAAACTTTTTATTTGTAAGCTAATAAAGCTAATACATGTCTCTTGCAAGGTTACATCAAAAGACATCATATACATAAGTATTGAAATTGTAAGTATTGTAAATAGGTGTACCAAAAAATTGATAAATTAAAGAATGCCATAATTATGTGGCAACATGTTGAAGCATTCAATACCACTTAATAGAATAATTTTAAGTAACAAACAAAAAAGAAGCATAAATATATCCAAAATTAGTTTAGAAGTAGAGATAATATGTAAAAAGATATTGTATAATAGACTTATTTTATATAATATATTATTTATTTAGAAAATTAATTGTATGTGCTAAATAATTTTGAGTAGAAATAGGAAAAATTAAAATTAACCATGGAAAATAGTAGCTAAGTTTTTAAAAATCTAACTTAAATTTTATTATTAAAGATGGATTATTTTACCTTGTAATTGATTAAGCTTATTAAAAGTTTTCATATTTTATAATTAATAGATTTATTTTAAATTTAGAATCCTCGATGGCATGACCAATAGGATAAATTGATTAGAAATAGTCTCAAATATTTGTACCTTTGTTTGGTTATCAAATCTAAATTTTTATGTGAATGAAAAATAATGAAAAAATTAAATGTTATGCAAAATCCTTCAAAATTTCCACTTCCTCACAGAATATAAAATTAGTATTATATCCTTTCATACCTTCCTTCGTTGCTTAATAGATAAACTCTTTTGTTCTCACTAACATTTTCTTGCCGGCCATTCTAGGTAGGATTTATATAAACTGCCATTCTTAATGTTTTATCTTCAAAGAATATTGGTTTCAGTGAACGTGTCTAAGAATCCATGCTAAGGTTTTGCAAATTTTGTGTCCATTTTTCTCAATCATTCCCAAGAGTGAAATCATATGGCCTACATCTCTTTGCTTCTCCTGTCTCCAGTATTACATTGGTTGTGACTCTGGATTTAAAGGCAGCAGGCTCTAACTCTCGTGCAAAGTCATAGTTGTCAATAAAGACCTGGATCACTTAACATTGTCAGTAAGAACGTCAAAATTTATTTCTCAGTAATCAGAATTCGTGATCTAAGTCATTAAACAAATCACTCAACTTCTTGGAAACAAATATCGTTGAAGATCAAATGACAGAAAATTATACGAACACCAAAGAGAATACGGCAATCTGCAAATGCCGAACCATGTTAGGTTGCTAGCAAATACGTTAGACTGTTGGTCATAGGCTACTAACAGTTTTCCAGCCATCTGGATCAAGACAAGAATAAATTTTCGTCGGAATGCCTGGTAGGGGACCAGGGGGACGGATTGTTCGGGCATGCTGCAACTCAGCAGCATATGCCGTCTCGTAAACATCATCCGTGCTTATCCCCATCTACAATTCATATTGGTTTCGGTTAGACTTTTACTTACATATTCGGTAGATTGATGAAGATATAGAGCAATCTCGTTCAGACGAAATCTATTGCGTAGGACAGATTTCAAATAGCCATCTCCTACGTATTCTGAGAGGCACATGGCAGCACTAAAATCGCATGAAACATTGAACACAACTGGAGAAAGTAAAAACGGGTCAACCAGCGTCAGAAATTGAACGATCTATCATCTCAAGTGAAAAGCAATGACACATTTAAAGAGGAAATGTTGATAAGTTGCTGCTGGGGCGCATAAACCAAATGATGAATGCACCTGCACATATCCAGTTCCCTTGGTGTACTCTTTGACGCCGTAGTTACACTCCAGTTCAATGACAGTTGCTTTTGTGTCATCCAAGTTATAGCCCAAGTATGCGAATGTTTTCTGGAACCAGAAGAGAAACCACGAAGTTGTAAAGTGAAGTTTTCTTTCTAAACTGAAGATGAAGACACGAGTTTCAAATTATGCTGTACATGACCTCATTGTAACAATACGGTCTGTTCTTTCTGGTTACTTAAGTGAGAAAGTTACCTGTGATGAAGGATAATCGTTTCTCGAAAGCAGGAACATTCCATAAGCCTAGAAGGATCTTTCACCAAAAGGGTCAGAAAGTCAGAATTAACAATTTAAAGCACAGCTAAGCGAAGAGCACAAACTTCATCTGGAGAAACTGCGCAACAGAATTTCATTGAGCATATTTTCTGCTCTGCGAACGAAATTGGATGCAGGAAAATACTCTCATAGATAATCTTTTCCTACGACTGGTGTGAGTGATTTTGAGTAAATTATAAGGCTACGGGGTTACATCTTGGTAAAAAAGAATTGATCTGTCGATGTCGGCGACCTTGTAACTCGCTTGCCAAAGGCGTTCACGCATACCTTTCCTCTGTATGAGTTTGAAGGGGTAACCGTCCGGGTCTTTTATGTAAGCATAGACATCTTTATTAAGATCTACTGAAGTAGTAGCTGGAGCCAAAAATCCTTTCTCTCTCATCTCGTTCAGAGTTTTTTGAACCTGCACAGTGGTCATTGGTAGTAAGAGCTTTGCGGAGAGAAATTTATCTTGTGTATAATCATGCCAAATTGTATATCTTCAAGTGATGACCAATTCTGTAATACATGGCATAATCTAACAGCACCTCCCAATCACACAAGACAGACTTGGTGATGGCGTTGTAAGACTTTGTTGCTCTAGTGCGTAACACATCCTGGACAAGAATGTTTGAGAAATTAAAGTGCAAGCCAAGTTATGATATTTCTAGATAACGTGTCTTTTGGCAACATCCACAATTAATTCACGCAAAAGCTAGAGCAAGAGCTCAATAGATCTCTATTCTGTTGACAGACAAGACCAATCTGCCTTCTGATAGCTTAATTCGAATTGCGACATTTAATACTTAATTATTTGTCTTTGTCGAGAATTCTAGCGTTGTGAGCACTCACGTCTGGTACAGCAATCCCAAAATGCCCGAGATCAGTCCCGATTTCATATTTGAGCACACCATAATCTACAACAGTCATAATTGACTTGGGAATTGTTAAGGGCACCAAAATAACGAAGAATCACACAAGTCACAGGCTCAGAATTTGTTTGGCAATTGAAAGTAAAAACAATCATCTATCTGGCTAATTCAGAGCAATATTCCAGCACCTCAAGACATTAGTTTTCATTTAATGCTTAAGTTCAACTTCTCTTGAAATAATAATGAAAATAATCGTTAACTCACTGTAAGTCAACTCCACAGCTAAATGGTTGTCCTCTCTTCCGTATCCCATGAAAACAGTCAGATACTTGTCTTCTGGAGCATCGATTTTACGTAAAATGTGCATACCTAAGCATTTTTGATAGTACCTGTAAAATGCATGTTGTCCCATACTAGATTTATTTTGGCTCAGAGGAATGGGGAAATTTTACCCCAAATATACTTGTCCAACAGTATAGGTTCTTCTCTATTCATACTTTCCTTCAAATCGTAACCAATTCTCACGCTCAAGTACAACAATGGTAAGACGAGCACGATTCTCTCTGACGACAAACACCAAAGCCCGATATCTTGATTATCAGTGATGATCAGAATTATCAGATTGCAAAAGAAAAGTCTAAGATGCAGTTGTCCACCAGACGTCTTATCCTATTGTTGCGAAAGTGATAAGAAGGAAAATTATCAGTAGAGGCAACTCACTTTATGGACTCCTCAATGTTGCCAACACGATACACAACATGGAGCATACGTCGTATATCTTTCCTGGGCCACTTTTTGAGCCTTCTTGTTCGCGGCGACACTTTAATACGCGGGGATGCCATTTTCGGGCTGTACGTCGAACCTTCTGGTGACCCATACATGTCCCTCGAGCGAGGAGATGGAGGTAAAGGCTCATTGGGACCGTATTTAGACATGATGGGACTCGAATCTGACTCTGCAATTCCACAAGTTAGCAACGTATAAGTCTACAAATGTTTGTCCACCAAATACGTAAATGCTGCGCGTACCTTTGCATCATGAAATAGAATATAATGAGTTCCTGAGTTCAAATTCTTGACTAATCTAATCTTTTGGTTTTATCAGTGCTACTTCATTTCGATATAATCTGTCACATGTACAACCAGAAACACTTTAATATGCCCCCTTAGGAATATAAACAACTGTGATTATAGCTAGTGCTTCTATAATGTCATCATTATTCTGTAGTCCGTGGTTGCGGTCGTTGGACTAGAACAAATCCTCATGTAATCATCGTAATTTAACAGCTGATGATTACAAAACTACGTTCTGATTGCACTGAACCTGCAGATTACAAGGCTGAGAGAATACAATGTCTACAATTGTATGATCTTGATGCCATTCAATGGTGCTTGATGGGAAGGGGAATCTCAATACTGATAAAGAGAAATCATCTTTTACAACAGAATGTTGTAACCTAGCAGGCGAGCCACACCAGAAATCCAAGGGTAAGAAATGTGACTTAGTTTTTAGTCGTCATTAAAGGTGCGTATTAATTTATATTTCAAATTGAGCGTAGACAGCCCCGTGGGACGTGACAGAAACAAATTTCTCTGGCTGTTCCTAAAACGTCATCAACACTCACACAAAAATTTTGTAGTCACTCAAATGCAATTAATCATATCATACTCCCTCATTTTTAGAGAAATTCAAGGACGTGACTCGAACAACCCAACAGATTCATTGCTAGAGGAGGGCGTGATCACCTATATTTCTCAACCCCTATGAACTACCAACCTCACAGGACAAAAGCCGCCGAGCTTCGAGAGATGAATCAATCGTTACTTCTCGCCCATATCCTGCTTCAGCAACAATCCGTCCTCGCCCTTCTCCTCTTTGTTATCGTGGACATCTCACGTATCCCATCCTATCATGGAACTCCTCCCTTGCGTTACAAATGATAATCTGCTGTAAATTTCTGCAAGTTTCGGGAATTGCATTAACATCTGTCAGCTTGAAGACGCACAATATTGATCGTTCTCAAGTCTTGGAAACCTAGAAAGTTCCTTGATGCGGCACGACTTCCATGTACACACAGGGTTACCTGAGGTCAGTTATTTAGCCACCAAGGGTTGGAGATAGGTCACCGAAAACCTACGAGGGAACACGGGCATGGGAACTTGCATGGAGAGCATGAGCAAACTTGACGGAGGGCTTACTTCGAGAAACTTTTGTTGCGGTTTTGTTAATTGTTGATTGCTTGCGAAGCTAATCACTCGAAACGATGGGCGACCAAGACCCTGTAATTTTGACCAGCTATGGGTGTCACAAAGGAGGCGTCAACTCTCTCCATTTCCGGCCGCATATGAAGCATGTGGTGTCTGGTGGAGCCGATTCTGTTGTTTTGCTGTGGAGCTTACATTGTCGGCCAAACCTGCGTCATCCTGTAGTCAGACCATATCGCTTCCTAGGGCATCAGGTCATCATTCTTCCACAACGTGCAATATTTATTGTCTTTGACAGATGCTCATGTTGGAGTCAGTATCGTGTAAGCTGCTTTTGTAAAAACAAACTACAGAATATTTTCAGAATATGTCCTGTTGGAGGTCTAGGGGATATGGTGTCTGCCTTTGAGGATCTCAAGTTCGGATGCACTGTACCGTGCGTTTTGTCTGTTCTTTTCCGGAATGTTGCTCTTCTAAGCCTCTCAAGGTTGTATGTATTGTGAAGGCATTCCTTGCTTACTTAACTTTAGAACATAGCCAGATTAGCTATTTTAAAGTGAAATGCCTGCTCTCAATTGGTTTGTCCGATTTATTGGATCTTCATGATTTAATGACTGCAACTGCACTTTTCAGCGTTTTTAAGTTAACTAAGTGATTTAAACTATTCGTGATTTGGGCTTTCAGGTTAGCCTGGATCCCTCTGATTTTTTTGTTATGAATAATGATTGTTTCTTCCTTTTATAAATAAGGTTTTGAGAACTTCTCCTTCGAGAAGATTGGAACTGACACAGGCTGCAGAAATGCACCGTCTATCTCCGATCGAACTGGATATCCACCAATGGTTAGGTTTAGAAATGAAAGAGCTTTGTGGTTCACAGACGACAACCGTTCTGTTCTGTAAACTACAGGACTGCTCCAACATTGATCTGTTATTATATTGGTTTTTTATTTCTTACTCCTTTGACATAATGGTCTTAGACCACGCATTAATCACTTTACAATGTTGGATAAAATTGGTCACAGCTGCAATTTAAGATTATTACATACAACCTCAACACCTAATTATGGAATTAAAAGGTTTGAAAAGAACAAAAATGTGCCTCGAACAATTTCTTCTTCGACAGATGCAATGATATCTAATCCTGGTGCCGTAGACACATGCCACGATTGAAATTGCGAGAGATTTTTTCACTGCTGGAGCCATGAGACCAGCCTGGTATCTAAGCAAAGAATGATTTCTCAGCTTCAGCTTCTGACTTGGCTGATTGTGATAATTTATTATTAAGAGTCTATATGAGTGTTATTTCTTATTTAAAGATTTTGACCATTTTTGTTCTAAACAACACTGATCACACTCATTTCCTGTTTTCTATCGAAGTCCTGAAATTCACAATGTGTTCTCATGGGTTTGCTTAGCCTGGGTGGCTGACAGGGGCCAGTCTACTCAGTGGCTGTTTCGCCGTTAGATAATTTGGTGGCATCGGGGTCCAAAGACAAGACCGTGCGACTTTGGCTCCCTACTGTGTGTGTGCATTCTTCTCTGCGTTCATTCTGAGAAGACTGTTTATTTGAAGAAGATTGGATAACATATGAATATAATTACAGAAAATATTTGATATATTACTGCGTTAAAATAATTGATGTTTACAATGATTTGGGTGGATTTTTTGAAACTGTTGCATTTAGATTCCTCTTCATCAGAACGTCTGGTGTAGCTTAGTTGCACCATGTGTGGGAGAGAAATGCTAAAAGAATGGGCTCTGCAGTCCTGGTATTCAAAATAAACAAAGCAAAGTTAGGATGCTCAGTACATGATAGAAATTGTTGTTTTTCCAGGGAAGCTAAGTCAAGTGTTATCAAGGCACATGGGGGTGCAGTTCGCACAGTCGCATTCAGCCACGATGGTCAATGTCTGCTCAGTGGATCAGACGATAAAACTATAAAGGTGGTTCTTAAGTGCTTATTTCTAATACGCAGTGTTTTACCATGCTTTGTCAATCGGCAAGTTAATACCACGTTCTAATTATTAAATACTTTACCTCAAGTTGATTGCTGGGGTGAGATTATGAGCAGATATGGATGGTACAAGGGCAAAAATTCTTGTCGACACTGATTGGCCACATAAATTGGGTACGATCTGCAGAATTCAGTCCCGACAACAGGTTACTTTTTTGCTCTGTTCTTGAATATTCTTTCCTCTCGCAACAGTGTCTTCAGTCAGTAAAGATGTAACTCTGCGATGATGATATTTATTTAACAAGAAAAATATAGGAATGTTTGATTCTCGCGTATCTTGTGTCTTTGAAGTGCCGATGTATCTTCTGTGATTGGGTGCAGGAGAATTGTCTCTGGTAGTGATGACAGGACTGTTCGACTGTGGGATTTGGAGCGGCATGAGTGTATTCAGCAATTTAATGATGGCATGGGGTATTTCGAATCTGCCACAATTTCATTTGTGTATTTTCTATGCATGTTTCATGTCTCTCACAGTACAGAGGTCTATTAGAAATTCAATGGACCAACGTGCCAGATGACGGTTGACATTGAGGGGGAGTTTATGGAAAAGGATTGAACGAATTTCGCGAATTGCAGGTTAATTAACTCTGTTCGATTTCATCCCAACGGCTGCCTACTTGGTACAGGTGGTTCCGACAACTGTGTTCAGGTGTTTCAATGTCTACCATCCATGTCTTCTAACCTTCAACACCAGTATCATGCGCAGTTTACTCAGATTTGCACCGCCAACTACCTCCATGGATTATTTATAACTTTCGACTTCAACAATCCGTTCTTGAGATTCACAATCAAATCTCAAGAACGGCTTTATGATTGCAAATATGTCGCAAATATCAAACCTTCTTTTGCCGAAGTTTACTTCTACTCGATTTACGAATGGATTGGTGGACTGCTGTACGTACGATCACATCGGCTAACATCGATACAATTGTGCTGTCTGATGTCTCTCGCTTGAAGGGATTGTCTACATTGAGTGACATCCAGTGGTGTGAGCTTGATGGGTAATAATTGCTGAGGGTGCAAGATATGGGATGTTCGAAGCAAAATGCTGGTGCAGCATTACGCTGCTAATGGAGGGATCGTAAATTCTGTCTGTTTCCATCCTTCGGGCAACTTTCTTCTTTCCACTTGTGAAGACTCAACAATCCGTGTAAGTATCATAGAACTGGCAATTTGTTCCGAAGTTGTGGACGATAATGATTTCCTTCGAGGGTCATACGATTTTATGTTTCCTTTGAAAGCAAGCAAACTTTATTGAGGTTAATGGCTATTGCATAGGTTTGGGACTTGCGTGAAGGTCAAATACTTTACAGTTTGCAAGGACACGAGGGTGCTACTTTGTGTGCGGAGTTTTCGCCAACAGGAGAGTATTTCGCGTCAGGAAGTGCAGATGAGCATGTACGTATTGCTATTTGCGTTCAACTCATGTGTTTGTTTACAACCAAATCAATCTTACAACATGTGTCAGTTTGCCTGGTTATTCCAGACATCTTCATGTAAACTAATTTTCAAAAGTTTGAGACCAGGTGATGCTTTGGCGAACCAATTTCGACGACTCAATATGTCTTCCAGAAGGTACATTAGGAGATTAATATTGCACCTCTACTCTCCTGCATCAAACCTTTTCCGCGACGCTATAATATCTGAAGTGGGAGTTAATTTGTAGTGATTTTCATTGAGCAGGAAGTAGGTGGGATGAGATATTCGGTTCTGGGCGGATATTATAGCTTTACTCGTGAACCTTCTTGGCACGTCGGTTTCGTAGGTTGTCATACAATACAAGCTCTGGAAAGTATATGGACATCAACATTCCTGGTCCAAAAGTTTTAGTCTTCCCATTTAACTGTGGTGATGGGTCAGTGTCAACAAGCTAACAACTTGGCTGTCTCAGAGGGAATTCTGGGTCCAATCCACGAGGAGGGTTCTCATTTAGCCAATTGTATGGCTTGTCAATGTGCGTGCAAGTCCTCGAAAGACTTGGCAGACAAAATTCTTGGTGGTGATTCACGCACTAACATTCCTAGTCCGGTAGTGAAGCAATCTTCGGGAGACAAGGTAGGCATAGTGCAAATCTCATGTATGTAGCTCGTGAGGCACCAATGGTGTAATTAAATTTGGTCCACAACACTCTAAGGAAAATGTTTCTGAATGAAAGCACCTGTGTAAATGTGGTAATAGAAAACATTTGCAAATCACACAGAAATGCTTGCACTCTAACAGAACAGTGAACGGTACTTTAAGGTCCCACAACAATCGCTGAATCCATAGGACCTTTTCAATTGAAATCTTCGAAATTATTCACATGTGGATACCACTTAGTCAATCTCGTTTCCTACTAAATGATTATCTGTTTCATTGTGCAGATGCCAAAGGTTATCGACCCATGTTTGAGCCCGTGTTCAGTTCCATCCCCGTGCAGAAGTCCACCCCGTCGTAGTTCACTTTGTCAAAGCAGTCTCTCAAAGCAGCGTCAAGCACAGTCCTCTCAAATGTCCCCCAAAAACACCTGCCAGGTTGTGTTTGGAACGAGGAAGGAGAATGAGAACTCTTCGCGGCCACTCTCTAGAGAAGGTTTTAATGATCCTTCGACCATCGAAAACTGTCGTTGCAGCAGGAACTCAGAATTTTCGACATCGAACATAGAAAGTTTTGGAAAAACGTTAGAGGTACTTGTCGTTACTCCCAGGGTGGCAACTTCCTCTTTACACAGCAGGATGTCGGCATCTTAAGCCTCTTTTTAGGGTTTAATATCAATTCCCTAAAATCTGCAAACCAGTATTTTCTACTCCAATTTATGATCCATCATTGGTCGTAAATTTTTACTTTGTTAGCGAAACCATTACAAATACTAGATGAGCTTTTGCCCTATGATTATCTTGCCATAATTGAATTGTAATCTAAGGTATTATAGTTTTCTTGTATGATTTGTGGTTTGTATCTTCATAAAAACACTTAATGGCAACTTTGTTACCAAGATTTTTTGTGTGATTTTATAAGTTGTAACAATGAATTTAGTACAAATATCAAAGGAAAAATATTCAAGTGTTGTGATTGAGGAAGTTTACGGCCCCACGTCGTTACTTACACTGCTTTTTCTGCATATATGAAAAATTTGATTGAGTTGACCTCCCAAACTAATGACTTGTAACGTGATTTGAATTTAAGTTGCAACTTTTAAGTGAACTTGATGCGTTTGTAATCATGGAATCTCGGATGGGTTAATCTAGCATCCTTCTCTTTCCTCGTTTTACAAATGTGCAGCACATAGTTGGTCAACTCGAAGTCCTCACACGAACAGTTTCCTTACTTGAAGAGCGCCTGTCTCACACGGAGAATAAGGTTAGTCAAATCCCTCTCCTTTCACTCATTTAAAAATAGAATAACACACACCAGGATTTTTTATTTGCTTTTGTTATGTTTGAAATCTGTGCAGATGATAAATTGTGAGGCATACGAGAAAAGACAAAGACCAAGGACTGCAGGGGATTAATCGTGGCAATTGATGCGAAGCATTTTACACTGACTTTTTGCAGTTTTTATGAGTCTTACCTGCGGTCTTGGCTAGTCTTGTTAGCTAAGATGTTCTCCCTTGTGAGGAAATTTTATTCTATTTAAAGACGTTGAAAGTAAGCAGTTCAGTGGCTAATCCTGTTGTATAATAGTAAGATTTAATGTTGATCAATTATGCAGACTAAGGATGTTTTCATCATTCCGTGTTTAAGGCTCAGCTCCATGTTCTTTGGCGCCATCAATTTGCAATGTCTGCTTCCAGCAGCCCCCTCACAAAATTGGTGGCCTTCGACCAGCTGTAGCTGTGCAACCGTGTCGCACGCTAATTTCTGTTTAATACTAGCAATTTTTTTTTAAGAGGGTACAAATGTATTTTGATATTTTTGCTTGATTGTTTATCGAAAGGTCACGCAAAGACGAGGAGACGCAACCTTACAGTCTTCGTCTTTTACGATTTTTTGGTGATTCTTCTTGTCGAAGTGCACGAAGAAATCCTTGCAGACCCAAGCAATGGTCAGGTTCAGAGAAGCAATTAGCTTGAATTTAAATCAATGCATGCTCTAGGTTGTAGCGATTCCTGATACGAGATAGACCATCCATAAAATTGAAGACTTTGATCAACCTTCTGTTTGCTAAGTGATGGAGTGTTGTTGCAGCCGTGTAAAGTGTCCCTAGTGTGAGCGATTTTGATTCTTGTATGTCGAAATATTCAAATATTTAAATGCTTGCGAACCAGTTCAAAACAACGTAGGGTGGAACTCGTGCAGGCTTGTGAAGGCGTGCAAAGGATGCGCAGTTCGAATTATGTTCCTCCTGAAATCCTTCAAAGGCTCCGATATTTGGATTGTCATTTGTGATGGTAAAAAAGGGTAAAGATATGATGATCATGCGAGCCATTCAGCCTGGTTCTGAGTTTACGAGTTTCTAAAAATCTTTGGATAGAAACCGTAATTTTTTCAGTAACGACTGCCGAATGGTTCGTGACATCAAAGAGTCAACATCCGGAAATCGATATCTACAAGTTGTTCTCGATTTATGGAGACAAGACATCTTGAATGTCATCTAGTTCAAGCTTCCAACATCAGTAACTTACTCAAGACCACGGATTTAAAGGGAGAGTTATTCTAATCAAGCTCCCGCTACAAAGGTTTCCATCTTTCTGCTAAAGTAGTTCAAATTTCACTAGAAATTGCTGCAGAAGCTGACTGTACTTCTCTCTGAGACCTACCAGAGACTGACCTTTAGGTGAACCAAAAAACAGTAAAGAATGTTGACGGCTGAAGAGCAGCGTCCTCCAGCGGACGAGGAGATATACACGCATGTCGCAGCGGAAATTAAACCCGCGTATAGGTTCCAGCTGACAGTCCGGGAGTTCGATTTCGGCAGATTTCGGAACCGCAAACCTCGACCGCAGCCCAAACCAAACGAACGGACTTATGCGAATTTTCAAGAGCTGGACTACCTCAGAAAGAACGTGGCGGATAAGATTGCAGATCCATTCTGGATGGGATGCAGGCTGAACCAGTTCAGTGAGGATTCAATCGATAGAGATGACATGCGAGACCTCATCTTATCGAGGCTCCCCGTTGGTAAACTGTACGATGTAGGATGTGTACCAGAGTATTTCCCCTATCTGTTCAATGCGCAGTTGAACCCGTTTTTAGAGACCCACCTTACGCACAACAAAGAGTATTTTCCAAGCGCGTTCTGCATTCGGGAGGAGGAGCTCACGCCGTATGGGACCTCCCACGACATCGCACCGCGAACGCTGTGGGCGTTTCAGACAGCGAAGAAAAAATGGGTGAGCTTCCCGACACTGGACTATCTCCCCCCAAGGGTGAGCCAGATGCTGGCAGGAGAGGGCGGATTGGTGCTTCTCTGCGGAGATCCACCTCCGTGGGTCGATCCGCAGGCTCCTGAGATTAAGACTGAATCAGAAGCAGTGCAAGCCGAAAAGAACGACGAGAAGAATGAAGAAGCAGAGACCGGGCCTGAGGAAGACGAGGGGGAGGAAGGTGAGGAGGAGGAAGGGGAGGAGGAAGTAGAAGAGAAACAACCAGATCCTCCGAAGCTACCGCCCCCTGAACCTAGAATCGACCCTAACGGTCAGAAACTGATCGTTGTCTGCAACCCCGTCGCACGCACGTTCAGAATCCTCCCCGACATGCACTGCCATCTAGAGAATCTCGTGGGGCACATCGACGTGACTCCCACGTCGGACCATTACGTCGTTTACATCGTGGGCTACCACCCCTCGATTAGCCAGTGCACCCAACAGAAAGGACTCCGCGTAGGCATCTTCAAATCCATCATGGGAAAGTGGCGCATCTTCAGCCTTCCCGAGGGAAGATTATACCAACCAGGAATCTCGAACTACAACCGCGCTCTTCCGCTTATCACGAAAAACATCGACACAACCTCGATTTTCCTGTCGGGGACTGTCATCACGTCACAAGCTAACATACACCAGCCCGTCATCCTCAGCTTCAAGAAAAAGACACGCTCCTGGGTGGCTTACTCGTGGCCACCAGCCTCCGAAGTTGAGCATCCCCAGATGGTCGAGTGCGACCAGAAGCTCTACATCTGCGCGCGAGGAGTGACCTCGAAATCCACCATGACCATCTGGACCTTTCTCTTCCACGAATTTAGCAACCCAGAGTGCAAACAAGTGACCAAAATGCCCGGTCCGCTCTTCACGAAACTGTTTCCTTATTGGTACCGACTGCGGTCTGATTACGACGTCGTCTCCAGCTCTTGCACCATTTCGTTTGCGTGCCGCGACAGACCCACTGTGATTGCATGCTACGATGTTAAGAGGGATTCTTGGTATGAGCTCCCACTCTACCAAGGCTACATCCATGGTCTCACCTTCCTCGGCAACTGGCGCTTCGAGCCCGCGGCGCACGCACAAGTGTGATCCATAGCCTTATCAGAGATGAGTTCGGCCGACAACTTTCCATAGTTGTTTGCTTTCCACAGTGGATACTTCCGCGTAGACATTGGCAAACGTGTTTTGGTGAAGATGGGTTGAGGTTGTAACATATTTTTGCGATGCAATTGTTGAAGTAACTTGAGGGAATTCAATCAATAAACCACGTCGGAAGCTGTGTGAAATGTTTTGAATGTGTCTGATGTCTTGTTCTTTGTTATCTCAAGAAAATGATAAAAGAGAGAAGTTGGCATGGTGCCAGTTGTGTAAAAAGTGGCCTAATATGAGGGTTTGCAAAGTATACATGTTTTGAAGAAATTTGAGTGCCTGTTGTTGACGTTATTAGTATATGTGAATATTTAGAAATCACATATAGTTTTTAAAAATGAAATTAAAAATAAAAATAGAAATTATTGTCTTTAAATTTGATTTCTTAATTTTCATAATGTCTTTATATTCACTCATACATTTATTAACACAAATCTCAACATCAAAATTACATAATTAAAAGTATTTTTTCTAAAAATATAATAGAATATTTTTTTGCATGTAGGTAATGTAATTTTAGAATTTTTAACTTTTTACATTTCTTAAAATATAAAAATGAAAGAGATTAACTTATAATAATTTTTTATTATAATATATTTTTACTAAAAAATATATTTTTTGGCTTATATACTCATATAAATATATATATATATATATATATACCCTAATTTTGTTGATATATGTTTACTCATTTGGTTTTATAAATCACAAAAATTAATTCTTTGAATTGAATTGTTTATATTATTAATCTGTTTTTCTCTGAATGTAAGTTTTGTGATATAATTTTTTTTTAACTGTATCAATGCACAGGATACTGATGGCTGAAACTACGTTGTGAGAAAATTGCAACAAATTCTCTTAAGACGTAATAAAAACTAAGTCAATCTTGTACATTTTTAAACCTCTAATTATTGAAAGCTAATGTAAACAAGATTGGGTTACAAAATTTATTTCCTTTACTCTTATTTATTTCTTTATTTGTGTATACTAAAGAAAAACATTCATGCACACGTTACACAATCGATGTATATAAAATAAAATAAATATAAATATAAATATGAATATATTTATTTATTTAATTCATAATAGGTAATTTTGAAATAAATGATCATACTAAATTACTTATTACTATTGATATCAAGGTATTTATCTTAATGTACAAATTTACACATAAAAATATATTGTAGAAAAATAGAATCATTGCTCATATTAATGATTTCATAAAATCATATTAATGATTTTAGAAATAATGATAAAAAATATCTTGTGCTATAAAAATGTAAATGCACAGTCATACTTTTTTATTATCATAGAAGTAATTTCTAATATTGAATTCTAAGAGTTAGTGAATTTCAAAAGACACGACTTTTAAAATGATAATGCAAATTTTGTTTATCTTTAAGAATGGCAATACATAGTGAACTTGGTGTCATTTCTGCCTAAGAAAAAAAAAGATATAAGAAAATCTTTCTGGATACTTAAGATAATAACAAAACAATAGAACTTGTAAAAAAAATCAATCTTCTTTCTTAAAAAATAATAAAAAGCCTGTAAAAATCCCAAGAAAACAGATTTCCTTATCAATTTGTGTATTTATGTGTATATATATATATATATATATATATATATATCAAATTTTAATTTTTCTTTAAATTAATCAGATTACAATGAAAAAAAGATTACCATCTCAAAGAAGAGTCTTATTGAATCTGAAAGTTACATATTTGATCAAGAAGAACTTTCAAGTTTAGGAGCAATGATATCCTTTAATTTCTTCATATTTCAATAGACCAAAAAATTTAAAATCTTTTAGAAGTTTAACTGTACTTTTCTATTTAAATAAAATAAAAGAATTTTGTGTGATATTTTGAGTATTTGAATAAATACACAAATAATAAAGGCGTCAATTATGGTCTCAAAAATAATGAAACCTAAGATAGTCATTTCTTTCAGGTAGAACAAATTTATAGATGAAAATTTGTTCCCAAAAAAAATCATAAAAATAAAAATAAAATAAAAAATGAACTTTCCAGATCTTTCATATGTTCAATACGAGTTCATAATCAATAAACTAAGTTTTCTAAAAGAACTAAAACTCAGTAAAAGCAGAAAAAAAATTCTTGCACACACTTGAAATTCTACAACAACAATGATAATATTTTTTCAATAATTCATCCTTTGTATTAAAAAAAAAAAAAAAAAAAAAAAAAAACAATTAAGTACAACAGCTCATAATACCAATCAACATTTGAACTATTTTCTGGATGTAGACAAGTCAAAAGAATCATGAACTACATGAAAGAATGAAAACTAAGTCATATGGCTTCAAGAACAAAAAAACTTGTGAGGTTTTTAGATTCTGACAAATCAAATACACCAATGAAAAAGCCAGACAATGAAAGTCCTGAAACAATTTCAGTTTCTGAAGACACTGATTTGGATACTTTAGAATCATCTTCACCACCACAATTTTCTGAAGAATATGGTGCATACATATATAGAACTGTAAAAAAAGTGCAAGAGAAGCAACTTGTGATAAAATTTCTTAATGGCATTGTTCCACTTCCATTGCCTATTGTGCCACCACCTCCACCTTTTGTCTACACCACCACCATGTTCTCTTTCACAACTCAAATCAAATACCCCGGTTCAACCTAAGAGTGACTTAGAGTGGATGAAGCAATTTTGAAAGTCATCAAAAAAAGACCCAAACAAAAAAATGGCACTTGATTGCATTCTATGGAAGCTACCAATTGCAAAACTCTTTGCCGTTGGTTGCGTTTGGTCATCTCGCCACAAACTCTACAATGCACACAAAAATAGAGCTTTAATAAAAGGGGGTTTTGTGAAGCACAACATAGAATATTATCCCACCATATTTAATGTGGATACACGACAAGTGTGGGCCTTGCATCACCCAAGCAATGTGTGGAAACAAATGCCACATTTAAACTTTCTTCCATATGGTGTGAACAAAATGTTGTGTGGAAATGGAGGATTAATTCTTTTGCATGGTGGAGTCCAACCATACTCCTTGAGAACAATAGAAAAGCATTCTTTTAAGACTAATAGGGATCCAACTTCTATCAAATCCAATCATTGGACATCAAAGTATCCACCTCAACCAATGCTAGTTTTAGTGAATCATATTGTACGAAACTACTTGGTGTTGCCACCATTGGAAATGGTCTTGACCCACGTGCTTGCACATATCACCGTATCCGCTCTATCGGATTCATATATTATTCATCTTGTTGGATGGAAAAAGACCCACAATGACACAATGGGTGTTTTGAAGGTTGGAGTCTACAATTCCATTGGAAAAGAATGGCATTTTCATCCGGATCTTGCATCTAACAACCCGCTTACAAAATCCTTTCAACCCGATTTTGTATTTGCTTTGAGCTTGAGAAGTTTGTGTAGGATGCTCCCAATGGTATATTGTAGTGATGGTCCTTTGATTTTTGTAGTGGGAAAGATTGAAGCCGTTGGTGATGAATTTAATGAAGAAAAAAAACTTGTGCCTGCTGTAATGAGGTACATCTTTCAAACAAGATCTTGGGAGAGCGATTTTTGGCCATTGGCTGAAACAATGGAAGCACCCCAAATTGTTGAGTGCAAGTCCAATGTATATTTTGTGAGTAGAACTTTGGCTCGTCCAAGAACTTTGCATATATACAAGCTTGTTGATTATGATCTAAACCAAACCAAGTTTTTCAAAGGATGCATGGATCTTATCAAAGTGTCAACAATGAATCATGATATGTATAGTAAATGTTTTCTTGACTTTAATAGTGTTGAGATTAGTACACAATATTGTTGCATAGGAGTAATGGAATGCATTTGGATTATGTGTCATACTCTACCTGTGATAGTATATTATAACGTAGAAAGACACTTCTGGGAATATATACCATCTATTCCTTTGTTTGAACCTGGAAAGACAGTAATTGGCAATTGGATGTATCAACCCTCAATCCATGCACAAGTGTTATGATATATAAATCCGATTTTGATTCTAAATTTATTTTTTAAAAATAATTCCCTCATTATCTTGAGTTTCAGTCATATGATTTCTAAATCATTATCAAGGAAATTAAATTCTAGGCTCTAATATGAGGTATCAGTTTATTTGTAGATTTAGAATTCTACCAAATTTAATATAAATTTAATATAAATTTACTATATGTAGAATTCATAGATAAACTTATGAATTACATAAAAAAAATTAAAAAATATACCTTTTTATTAATTTTAATTTTTTATATATCATACTTACATGAAAATTTTATATATCAAATCTACACAAAACTTTATCTAAAATTACATAAATTTTTTTTTTTTGGACATAATTATGTTTTTTTTTCTTTCAATTTTTTGATAGATGCTTGAAATTATATATATATTAAATTTATTTTTACATTTTTGTATTGGAAAAAAATTACAATCATTTTGATGTAGGTTCATTCCATTTATCGGGTCCTATAGGGTCATCTCCAAGTGGGTCCCAATGTGGTCCGCGATATTCTTTTGTCCAAAGTGCTTTAAAATTTGGCTCCCAAATGCAACTTGCCATGGAATTTCTCCCCAAATTGGGTGAAAAACACTTTGTTTCTTCTGTCAATTTCCAACCACATTGGCGATCCATATTAATCCAAGAGCACTTGTCTACATCAAAAAGCACACCACTTCCACAACTTGGAACATAAAAACATATAAGTGAAAAACCACTACGACATTGAAAAGCAGGTTCTGTATTGTGTTGAATACACATGTAACAATTTCCAAACAAATAATCATATTGTTGCTTTGGCATGATTCCAATCCTTTTAAAAGAAAACTTTGCAAAACCTCTCCTATACTCTACAAGTTTAACTTCAAATCTTCCTTGAGGCACTTCCTTGTTTTTAGCCGTTGCTCGAGACACTAAATAGAGGCTACCATTGCACTCCATTAGAAGACAATTTTCAATTTTCTTATGATACAATTCCTGACAAAATGCAAATCCAGTGATTTCTTTTGTTTCAAAATCAAAGCATGAAATCACTGGGATCCATTTGATTGGAGGTAAGTCAAGTGCATCATTTTGCACTTCAATTTTCTTCCCATGATCTGCCCATTCAGAGACCCAGAAGAGTTTTTTATCAACCAATGCTAGGTCATTACTCTGGTTATTACATAGATTTCTTACATAGAGCCGACTATAGGTACCAATCCAATTTTTTACATTAGAGTTATAAATAGCAACAACAACTTCATCTCTACAAGGCAAAGAATTTGAGTTTGGAAGCTTCTGTATATCTTTGGCTAAAAAACTGGTTTCTGAAAAACTTGTTTCTGAAAGAACATTATAACCAACAAAATATATATTATACATAGTACTACTCTCTTCATCTTGTTCTAGATTGGGCTTTACTTCCATCCGTGCTATTTTGTTTTGCAATTGTTTATGAGGAAATGGATGTACATACTCAAATCTCTTTAAAAGTGGGTTACAAACACAAGTGATTGTTTGAGGTGGGTACTCATCTAGGTTCCATCCATCTTGCATGGATAGACCATTCTCACCTTGAATTCTTTGCCGTGGTTGCCATCTACCATCTACTACAAGGTAACCTTTCTCACCCGCAATAATAGTATCAACACCACAAGGAAGAAAATTCAAAGAAGGTAAATGAATCTATGGACTTGTTTTGTATCCATACTTAGCCATGAAATCTACATCAATCCTATCTTCCTTTGTCATTGACGAAACATTTGGGATATCTTCACTTGATTTGTCACATTCATTTTGAGGTTCTAATGGCGGTAATGTAGATGGTGGTGAAGAGGAACTAATAGGCAATGTTGGTATTGGTAAGTCTAAATCCATCATTCGGCAACAACATGGTTTGGTGTCAATTAGTTGTGGCTTGTGTAGAGATGGACCTATTCTACCACATGGGTCTTGTGAAGCAACCAACATATGAACCTTCTTTTTTGACTTTTGCCAAGCTAAATGGGTTGTATCTAGTTCTTTTTGGTTTAGGTTTAAATCTTGTTGAACATTTCCACAATATCCAATACAACTATGCATGTTGCATTCTTGGAAATTAAATATTGGAAACATTGTGATGAACTTGTTGTTATTCCAAGGATCACCTTGAGAAGATGGATACCAATCCATTAAAAAATGATCCCTTGAACGGAATTTTCTCCATGCCAAATCAAGTTCTAATCCATGAAGTTGGGGAAGAAATCGTCCAACGTCATCAAAATGAGTGGTTTTCCAACCCACTGGACAATTATTGTGAAAAATTGGTTCTGTGAAACCAGGTCCAGTTTTTGGAAGCTTGAAAATATTGTCACCCCAATCTAAGTCCTTGATTTCTGAGAGATTAAAATCAAAATTTAACTTTGATCCCTTGTATTCCATTCTGAATGGATCTCTCTTATGGTATAGGGTAAGTTATATTTTTTTAATAATAATTTGATAAATAAAATGATAGAGATACTTCTATTCTTTTTACAGTGGATTACATCATATTTTCTTGAATATTTCGAAATATTCCATATTTTAAAATATACAAATAGGTGATTTAACTTTAATGTTCAAACATATTTCATGTTAAAAAGGTACTGAAAATTAATCATCACGCATGATCTTTCATGTCAATCAATCTTTGAAAACTATTTGATTCATCTGCTTCTCTTGTGGCATATATCAATCAGGTACTATCTTTTTTTGTTAAGTTTTAGATTATTTTTTGAAGATGAAATTTTTTATAGCTATCACATGGCTTTTCATAGTAACTTTTCAATCGAATGGTTTTACATCTATTGTTAAGTGAAAATTCATATTTCTCAATTCTAATAATAATAATAATGATTAATCTTTTCATACATGTATGTTATTAGACATTCTTGCATTTTTATTGAAAATTTCTAAACTGAAAGTTTTGTATTATTTTTAGGATCATTAATTTCTGCATTAAAATTTTCAATTATTAAATACTGAAGTATTATTTAATCAAAGTACAAAATAATAATGTTTTTGAAGATACATTGTTACATTTCGTTTCATAATCAATAAACACTAATATTCCCTTTTTTAAAATTACAAATAAAATCTAATTTTAAAAATTTGATTAATTTTACAGTTGTTTATTTGTTCTATTTTCATATCCAACATAATTTTAATTGATATAATAAATTTTATTTTTTAAGATCTAATTTTCTTGATGAAAATATTATTTTCATATATTTATAAAGAAACACTCTTAAATGTTCGATTTTAATATCATACTGTCTTAAGATACATAAATCTTGGAAGTTTTATGCTTAATTTTTTTTCACTAGATCATATTCAATGATAAAATGTTGATCAATTTAGTTATTGATTTCAATTTCACTGCCTGAATGGATATTTAAAGCCATTCAATTTGAACTTATAATCCTAAGAAAAAACGTACTGATTTTTTCAAATTTAATCTTGTTATACATTTAAATTCAGCTTGCTTTAACTATCTTTGTACATGGAAATCGTAAAGTTCTAGTAACATGAGAAGACTTCAAAATCTTTAAATTAAAAGAATATTATTTATTTCAAACTACATAATAATTTTAAATTATGTGCCACAAATCCATTTTGTTTTTACATTATAATTTTTTTTATAGAAAACCTATTTTTTAAAAAAAAATCATTGAAAATAAACATAAAATTTATGTAAAATTAGTGAAAAATTATTCTGAATGTACCATATTCTTTATATTTCGAATGAATATCTAAGTTTTTTCTCAGTGCTTTACAATTTATGAACGTCTCTTAGCTTCAGCCTCTATTTTGAAATATTTTGTAGAATTTTAAACAAGAGTTGATATCACATATCATGGGTGTTCGAAAATATTAATTACTTTAACACAAGAATAATAATTGAAACAGATTTCTTTTTAAATATTTTTTGAGTTTTTAGTTGACTTGTAATATAGTTGACTTTAAAACAATCATCATTTCAGGCTACGCTGTAAAGATTTAAATAAATCGACTATTTCAGTTACATCATATTGGTTTATAAAATTATAAAATTGAATAAATAAAAATAAATAGATAAAAAGAAAGAAATGATTAAATGGAAAATTAATGAAAAATTAAAAATAAATTTAACATTTTAAGAATAAGACTTCAGAATGATGAACAAGACTTGTATCATTTTATTTAAAATAAATCACATTTTTTTAATTGATGTATATGTACATATAAAAGAAAGAATAAACTTTATTTGATGAAAAAAATTATGTTTCTTAAGAAGTAATAAAAGATATTAAATAAACACATTTTCTGTATAATATCCAAAATTTAATTTAAGGTCATTTAATCTTAAATTAGAAAAAATAAAAAACATATATCTTATATTATAATTTATTTTTTATTTTTTTATTCTTTAACAATCAGTGTATATGTATGTATATATATATATATATATATATATAATAATAATAATAATTCTTTGCATCATTTTAATAAAACTTACTACTAATTATTTCTACAAACTTTACTACTATTATCTTGCCAATGCAACGTTCATTTCAGAGATATTTGATATTTTAGTGTATTGAAATAGCTAAATTTTAATTACTAAGAAATTCTCAATCAATAATTGGTTTAACCATTTTAAATCTTTATTAATTTTTTTTAAAAAATTATGTATTTTTTTAAAAAATTATGTATTTTTTTAAAAAATTATGTATTTTTTTAAAAAATTAAAAAATTAAAAAATTCTAATTGGTGTAATGTATAAAGGTTTTTTCAATGATCAGTTTTTTTTTTTTTTTTTTTTTTTTTTTTTTTTGTAAATTAAAAAAAATTGGTTTAATTTTTAAATTTAAATTTTTATTCTACAGTGATATAATATTATATTATTTATCTATTTTAATGATGTAGAAATTTTTATTATTTAAATAAAGTTTAAGAATTTAATGCACTTTTATAATTAAATTTGAAAAATCACAATGCTCATATATATATATATATATATGAATTTATATTTTAAAGTAGTAAAATATCAATTCTTTATTTGAAATTTAGTATAATCACTTCAATTTCTTAAAATCCAGAAAAGAGCTTATGTGAAGTGACATTTAATTGTTGTTTTCTATTCCACCATGTTTCTTATGAAGCTAGAAGTTCCATGGTGTCCAAACGTGCAAAAGCTCTTTGCTTCCTGATTGCAAAACAATGGTTATAGACACTCTTCCAGAGACCAGAGACTATGGATTCATCTGTCACCTATTATTTTCAAATATGAATGAGCAAATGAATGAATGTTATGACAATCAATTATGCTCATGACAATCCATGGATTTTGAAGAAATGGTGTATGTGTCATTACAAGAAATAATGCTCCACTTATGTGGATTGTGCATTTGTTTAAGATTTAGTTAGGATTCACAATTTGATTATGATTTGATTAAGATTTGATTAGAATTCATTTTAGGTTTTTATTTTTTATATTTCTTTATGATTTTTTTTTATCATGTACACTTTTTTAAGATTAATTTATAAATTCTTTATATTTTTTTTGTAATTTCTTTAAGACTTCTTTTGAATTTGATTAAATTTTGATTAGCATAACTAAGATTTAATTAGAATTTATTTATGATTCTATTAGAGTTGTTAGGACTTTCTTATTACAAATTCTATTTTATCTTTCACAACCAAGTGCTTAGTGCATTATCAAGTAAATTTCATGGAATACAATTTCACTAATGTTTAGCACAAATCGTAGGCATTTAGCCACTTTTCTAATATGAAAATAGCTTGGTGAGGTCAGACATGTCTTTGCTCATGTAGGGCCACTATGTAGCATTGAACTTAGTGATTGCCTACTGCTAGCAGCATCATGTATAGGGCCCAACAAGGTCATTGATAGCTATTAGAATTGGCACTATGTAGCCTTCTTTTACATGCTCTCAAAGGCTCTAATTTCAATCTCATTTTTTTTTTTCAAAATGTCTATTGGTACTAATAGATAGATATTATATCTAGGTTATACTAGCTTATGTACTATATCACTATGCCATCTATCGAGATAGCATCCAAATTAGTGCCAACTAGTGGTAATATTTTAAATAAACCAATCATTCAAACTTCACTACTTTGGATCAAAGATTTATAAGAGATTTAGTTCAAAGAATCACTATAAGTGTTGACATTAAATATATTCACTTAAAGTAAGGTAATGCATAACAACTCAATCTAGGACTACTCAAGACTGGATAACATGACTAGGTATAGCCCAACCTATGTAAGACAGATAGGAGCGGTTTTTATTAATTGTCCCTTGATGATGGACTTTTTCTAATATATTTCCAAATATTTGGCAAAACAATGTCAATTTTGGAGATGTTTTGCCAAAACAAAAATT